AGCCGAAGGTTGCTCAAGGAACATTTAAAATAGTCATGCTGCTTTTACTTAGCCTGAGGATTTCCTTTACTTTTCATGTTGAAATGTAAACTTTGCTTTGACTGGTATGTCTGTCCCTCTTACTTGCTCTTAAATTCTGATTCTGTAGTGATGTTTTTATTACTAAATACAATCTAGAATTAAATCCCTTTTTAACCAAATTTTACCTGTACCTCCAGGTCTAAGATATTTCTCTATTTTTTCAAACTAAAAAAGGCATCCTCCTCCTCAGGGCTCCATGTGGAGACAAAAGTGACCTCATCGTGGATGCTAATCTGCCACACTAACTTCTCGTTAGCCTGGTCTCGTGAGTGCCTCCTGATTCCTACTTCACTTCCTGTCCTTCCTGTAAGAACATGTGCTCCTGCCTTTAGATCAAGGTGACCCTTATGTTATTGTACAAATGATAGCCCATGATGTATGCAGCACTCTTGCCTGTTCTGGAGGGGTGTCTTCAATTATCTCTCTAGGGTAGGTGTCCTTTCCCTATGATACAAGAGCCCTGGGTCTGGGGAGTAACATTGCAGAGGTCTACCTGTCTTGCTGCTTCCCAAGACCACACTTCCATTCATAAGTGCCCCAGGAAATCACCCTTTACCAAAACACTGGATTTGTCTTCCTCCTTCTTTGGTTTCTCAACTTTTCCTGGGTTTGGAGACCACTTGGCATATACGGCCCTTTCACGGAACACTCTAGTTGATACCTTTTCTATGTTGCCTGCCCTGTTAGGCCTTGTGATGTCACCAGGTGTGTGCAGGGTTCACTCTCTGCACTTGTGAGCACCAAAGCAGGCATAAACTGCATCAGACCTACCTCTGCATCCCCTTGCTGGGTTTCAATAAACATTTGTTAAAGAAATATTAAATGTCAAAAGCAAACAGCCTCAATTTTACCAGCAAACGATCTAATATTGATTGACTTTTCTTAAATTGTGACTCAGATGAGAAGCAACATCACGGTTAACATAACAACTTGATATCAATGGATAGACATACACACTAGATAGTGGACTATTGCATTTTTTTTTTCTCAGAGGCCCTTCTTCATGGATGATTGCTACAGACCAGTAACACAGAGCTTTAGGTTATCCACAGATCAGGTGTCCAAGGAACTTGTCTTTTAATACAGCTCTATAACCTCAAAGTGTTTGGAAATTCACTATGTAGACAATAGCTCTGAAACAAGCTATTAAAAAGATTCCCAGGAAGAACAAAAGTCTGTAGCAAGGAAGAGGAGGGGGACTTCAGAACTCCTGGCAAAGCCAGAGCTCCCTGCCTTCCTCTGCAAAGTGGGCAAGCCTGGCTTCCTCCAGGCAGGGAGAATGTGATTGGCCCTGCACTTACGGCTCCACTTACCCTCGGTGAGTCCTGGAGTGGGTATATTAACCATGCCTATTATCTTCTGTATTCTAATACTTTGAAAATGTGGGGACTTGCTGACTCTGGAAGAACCGCCCCTCCCAGAGCTAGGCAATTCCTAAAGATAGTAAACAACTTGCACATAAATTCATTTTTTCAAATACAAACCAGCTGACCCAGAACACACATGATCTCTAACACCTCCTCTAAGGGGCTCTCACATGCTAAGCCACAGTCCCCCTTCCCCAGTCACCCCAGGGACAGGTACTACCAACTAGGGACAACCCCTATGCTGCACGGCCCACTGAAGTTATTCAAACTAGCAGATCTTAGACCTGCTTGTCCTATTTCATCCATTCCTTCCAACAGAAACCACAATAAAAGCCCTTGCTCATGTTTCCTTCCAGCTGCCCTCTGCCTCCTGGCTGACCTGATGCTCCGTCATGGGACGCTGTGTCCCATGCCCCTATTCTTGGAAACTGTAATATGTGATATTTTCAAAGGCAGTCATCTCCTGATCTGTTGGCCTTATGGTACTTCAATTTTTCTATTAATACACAATATTTTAAAACAATGGGCTAAGGATGAGGTGAGTGCGGGCATGAAGCAGGATGCTGGGGTGTTAATGCTCTGTTAGGAGCATGGGAATGGGATTTGGTGTCCTCTGCAGAAACCCTTCTCTGATGGTGAAGTGCATGTACCAAGGTTTCACTTAGAACCCAAGAAAGGAACTCAAATGAGCACAGCAGGAGGGAAGACAAACAGCACAGTCAGGCAGGGATGTACTGGGCCGACTGAATCAACACACGGTGGGAAGGAAATACAGTGCCACCCGCAGATTAGGGTAGGAAGTGATTCTTGTGTATGAATCTTGCTCCCCAGACCCAGGAAGGTGGGATGAACTCAGGGAGCTCAGGGGGGCCTGAAGTCCCATGGAAGAGCTGTTTCTCATCTGAGGCCCCATTTCTCTGAGGGCTGTGCTGGGGGTAGAGCGTGAGGTAGGGAGAGTTCTTTGGTTTGGGCAATTTCACTTCACTTTCCATTTTGTTTTTCCTCTTATGTATCTGTCCCTACTTGCCACATACATTCTTCCCTCTATATTTCTGTGGCTCCTCATTTTTCTGATTCTGACATTCCTTTTCCACTTTCCCCCCTTCACCCTGAAAGATGGTTGCTTTGCCCGAGTGAACTGCCATAGCAGGTGCAAGCCTCAGCTTCCTGTCACAGGCGAATTTGCTGAGACCTACACTGAAGTTTGAGGCTTCCTGACTGTTCATGAGGTCACAGTCAGGACTGCAATTCAGAAGCTAAAGGTGGCTAAGCCCTCGTGCTCCCCTGGTTTCACTCCACTCGGCTTTCACAGCAGGCTCTTGTTGCACCTGCCCGTCCCCGGGGGAGGTGGTCTCTGAGGCCCAAGCCCTGCCCTCTGGGTCCCACCTCTGTGGGATTTCTGTAGCTCCTTTCTTCTGTTCTCCCTCTGGGCAGATGTCTACCAGCCCAAGCCAGGGACCCTCCTCACCAGCCTCCTGCCTCTCCACGGGGAAATCCTGATACTCAGATCCTTGCCCAAATTCTGCCAAAATTTTCTCTCCAAAGCCCTTACCTTCTCCTGAGTTACCTCCTCAGAACTTTTCCCCACACCCAGACCCTACTCTTCCTCATTCATGTTCCTAAAAATTCATGTTCATGGAAAGAAAGGGATGGAGAGGAGGAGGAAGGAGACCCACTAAAAGTTCTCTCATCTATCTCAGCAGCTCCACATCAGAGAAATGGGTTCTGATGTTGCTGACTCCCAGGTATGGATGCCGAAGTTTATGAAAAATCTAGTTATTGTTACGATCTATGTCATGATCAATCGTTTATTCTTTATTTCAATATTATAGAAGCACACATCATCATATGTTTATTACAGGTTTATAGTTATAGGAGAATAAGCACTTTACGAATTATGTTATTTTATTTTACTTTTTATTTTTTCAGACAGGGTCTTGCTCTGTCATGCAGGCTGGAGTATAGTGGCACAATCATGGTTTACTGTGGCCTTGACCTCTTGGACACAACTGATCCTCCTACCTTCTAAGTAGCTAGCACTACAGATGCACCCCACCACACCTGGATATAATTTTTAAAAACTAACTTTTTAAAAGTGTTTTGTAGGAATGAGGTCTCACTATGTTGCTCAGGCTGGTCTCAAACTCTGGGCCTCAAGTGATCCTCCCACTCCATCCTCCCAAAGTGCTAGAATTACAGGTGTGAGCCACCTTACCTGGCCACAAATTATTTTTTAAATTTTATTAAGTTTGATGTTTCCGTGAATAACCCACAAGCCATTTCTCGTTTAATATAGTCCTACAGTTCATATCCACTAACAATTCATGCTCAACCCATATATCACATTATTGGAACCAAAACTCGGAAGTAGGCACAGATTTTCCAGTATGTAGAATGCAACAGCTAGAGAAAACCTATCCCCATGTGCTTCATCCTACTGGCTCTTGCAGCAAACATTTGTAAACATAAATCAGACATAAATCACCCAACAATCAGGAATGGGTTATAAAACTTTATGTAGGCATTCATAAAGGTTGGAGAGCATGAAATAGCATTTTTTTGATGATACCTATTAAAGATGGGCAGAGTACATACCGAGAATAGTTTCTAGTAAGTGCATCTGACCAGTGGTTGACCCGAAGCAGCAAACAGCTGTGAGGTTGACCGTTCCAGCAGTGCCTAACTCTAAAAATGGACACTCACCCCCTACTATGTCATCTCAATCCTGAGCATTAGCTTTTTCTCCATAAATTAAAAGTATTTAAAATTTACATATGACTATTTACCAAATCTCTGCTTGAGAATCCTAACCTTAAAAACACTGAATAAATGAGAACAAGAGATTTATCAACATAAATGAATAAATTATTCTATGTAAAAATGACAGGTTAAACAAATTAAAAGGAAATTGAACATGTATTTAGGCATCTTTAATTTTTTTTAATGTTATACCAGGATGTAGCAATGCTCTCACAAATTGATAACAAAATCATTAAGATTCCAAAAAGGAAATGAAGAGAATACATGAAGGGAATTAACCAGGAAGAAATAGAAAAGATCACTGAGCACAGGAAAGAAGTCTTTAGTCTTTCATAATCCAAATGGAAAGCAACCATAACAACCCTCTCTAACCCTTATACATTGATGGTCTTTTTCAGACTTTGATTCACTGCAGATGAGGGACATCACAGTACAGCCTTTTCATAAGGCATTTTGTGTGTAAAGAGGACATTTTGTGTCCTGTGGTCATCTTGACTCTGCAATCTTATTCTCACCCCTACCAATGTCACTACAATGAGGGAGCAATGTCCTTCTGGGAAGAGAAAAACAAAATGTCTCCCTCACAGGGAGACCACTAGACTCTGTGTTTGGGAGTTGCTGTGTCTTTGACTAACTAGCCACAGTATTTTATCCCCTCAGAGCCTTCATCTCCTGTTTTATGCCAGCAGGTAATCGGAACATACTTGCCTTTAAGGCATCTCCAGTCATAACCCTGCATCGTGCTATTGATTTCATAGTGAAGATTTAAGCAAAAGGAGAACTTCAACGCACCTATTTTTGATGTGCTGAGGAGAACCAAGACATTTGAAGCTGCCGTTGACCATTATGGCCAGTCTTGTGCAAAGAGCCTCACATTCCTCCATGCTGCGAGGAAGGGAAAGAGACAAAAATGAGCCATTTCCTGAAGAGGCGAGGCTTGAGTCAAACTTTTCAAAACAGAAAGGAGACAAGATACCATTAGGGCACATTACTTAATTTTTTATACAGAAATCTCATGTTAACCAAATAAAAAGCTTTTAAAAACAATAAGGTTTTATTTAGACAGCCAATTTTACAATTAACAAAAAATCAATATTTTCTTATACCAGGAAGATCAGCTATAAAATATATAGAAGAGAAGCATTTTGCAATAGTACAAAAACACAAAGTAAGAATAATCTTAACAAAGCAATGTGAATGTTTTATGAAAAGAAACAAGAAAGCCTAACTAATAGGCACAAATGAAATCTGGAATCAATGGAAGGAGGCATGGAAAAAAGAAAAGAATGGATATTTTGAAAATGGAAAAACCGTTATAATATGAAAATTAGTGCAATATAAAACATTATTAATATGTTAGTGTAAATATCAAATATTACCTTAAGTGTAAACATAAAACAGAAGTAAATTAATTATATGTAAAATATAAATAAGTTCTATTTTAACATAGTGTATAATATAGAATATAACACCGTAAATAACATTTTAATGTGTAGCTATAATTGAAATTATATTTTGACATTTCAATTCAAAATATGTCACAAAATTGGTAATCTATAATTATAGTATTATAATAATGAAAATATATTATAATACAGATATAGTAAATCTAATCAAAATTTTACATTTATCACTCTCATGAGAAAATTTTAAAATAATTATAAAGTATATCTTTAAAATTACTTAGTGAAAGGAAGAAAAATAATGAAAGAGGAATCATGAAAGAAGACTTGCTCCAGAAAATGTAAAGATTTTCTATATAACTAAAACAATTGCAACTTGGTAATACACTAAAGAATTACAAGGCAGATGTCATTAGAACAAGATAAGAGAGCCACAAACAAGATGTTACTATCTTATATACATAATGATTTGAATATGAGAAGACATTTTCTAAGCAGAAAAGCAATGGAAGAAGCTATTAAGGGGTTTGTAGTCGTTGTGTCTCAACACAGCAAACTAGCATTTAAAACATTCCAGTCAGGCATGGTGGCTCATGCCTGTAATCCCAGTACTTTGGGAGGCCGAGGTGGGTGGATCACCTGAGGTCAGGAGTTCGAGACCAGCCTGGCCAACATGGTGAAATTCTATCTCTACTAAAAGTACGAAAATTTAGCCGGGCGTAGTGGGGGGCACCTGTAATCCCAGCTACTCAAGAGGCTGAGGCAGGAGAATCGCTTGAACCCGGGAGGTGGAGGTTGCAGTGAGCCGAGATTGTGCTACTGCACTCCAGCCTGGGTAAGAAGAACCAGTATCTGTCTCAAAAAAAAAAAAAAAAATTCCAATAGACATACTGGGTAGAGGTTGATATACTTACTATAAAGAACTCATTTATGAGTTCTTTACTATATATGAGTTCTTCATAGTAAAAATATAACAATAAACAAAACAAAATAATAAAATAATGATATAATTATTATATTATTATTTAAATAAAATAATAAAACAACATAATAAAACAAATAATAAAACAAAATAATATAACATATAATTTTATTTATAACAAAATAATAAAAATATAATAGAGAAAAAAGGGTAAATAACATGTAGAGACCATTCAAAGAACTACTCATGGGTAATAAACATACCAACAAATTATAAAATATAAACCATTAAATCAACTGATTTTAAAGCTATTTTCTTGCTGGAAAAGTGTTCATGTGTGCTTTTGTGTATTGTAGAGAAAAATGAGGGGTTTTTATTTCCAATCGTCACTTCAAAAACAATGAGTTCTCAAATTAAAAAAAAATGCCCAGAAAGATAAGGCCATTTTCCCAGTAATGTTAAATATGTCATCTCATATATTGCTGGTGGGAGTAAAAATTGGCATAACTTTTTGAACACAATTTGGCAATAATTCCTTTCCTAAGAACTTAACCTAGAAAACACTGAAAATATAAATGCATGTAACAACTTATTTATAATAGTAAGCATCTGGAAACAGGTCAATATTTCACAGTAGGACAATATATCACTCATATAAGTAAGAGTTCATCCATGTGTTAGCTATTAAAACGAGGTTCACCAAAGTCAATTAATCATATGGAGAAAAGTTCATAATACAGCCATGGTAAAATGACAATGTGTATTCAGAGAATTGCACAAGTATGTTAAAAAACTTCCCAGGAAGAAAAACACACAAAAAAGTATGACTGTCAATATCTCAAAAATGAAATTAATGATGGATTTTCTTTACTTATTTTACCATTTTGCATTATCCAAATACTCTACAGGAAGTATGTGTTATTCATATTATTGGAGTACAGTCATAAAGCAGTCTTCTAGGTGGGTTAATGGGCATTCAGATAAAGACATTTCTCAGCCTTCCATGGACCTCGATGTGGACATGCAACAAACTCAGGTCAATGGATGCACAATTTCTGGGTCATGTTGAAATACAGCAAGCCACTTGACCTGGATTTTGTTTTTCTCCACTTCCCTTGAGCTAGGATGTAGACACGGTGCTGATGAGTCAACATCAACCATGATGATTGTAATGGTGGCATGGTAGAAAGAACCCAAGGCCTTGGTCGGCCTGATGATGCACAGCCCACTGACATGAATTAAGCAAGAGGAAAAAATATGTCTTGTCTGGGCCACTGTAAGTTGAGGTCTCTTTGTTATAGTTGCTTAGCATGAAGTCCAAGAAATACATGTCATAAATTTTCCAAATATGCCTTATATATTTTCCTGTACAAACACATATTTCTTTAATTTCAATTTAAAAGTAATCATCTTACGGGCACACTGTAGGTACTCTAATTAAAGAGGTAGTGTTGGGAGAAAGCCCTCCAAAATCTGGCCATAAACTGGCCCCAAAACTGGCCATAAATAAAATCTCTGCAGCAGTGTGTCATGTCCATAATGGCCCTAATACCCAAGCTGGAAGGTTGTGGGTTTACGGGAATGAGGGCAAGGAACACCTGGCCCGCCCAGGGCAGAAAACCGCCTAAAGGCATTCTTACGCCACAAACAAAAGCATGAGTGATCTGTGTCTTAAGGGCATGTTCCCACTGCAATTAATTCTGCCCATCCCTTCGTTTCCCATAAGGGATACTTTTAGTTAATTTAATATCTGTAGAAACAATGCTAAAGACTGGTTTGCTGTTAATAAATATGTGGGTAAATCTCTGTTTGGGGCTCTCAGCTCTGAAGGCTGTGAGACCCCTTGTTTCCCACTTCACACCTCTATATTTCTGTGTGTGTGTCTTTAATTCCTCTAGCGCCGCTGGTTTCAGGTCTCCCTGATCGAGCTGGTCTTGGCAAGTGGTGTCTATTCATGGAGGCTCGAATCCAGGTTGAAGGGTCGCCGGAGCGATGGCTGGAACGGAAAACTAGCTGGGGGACACCCAAGTACTCTTAAAGCAATCCCCGTGGTGAGTAAGAAGGGGAGCATCAGGGTAACAATGGGGCAAGTTTGGGGTCTGGTCCGTTTCACTTTGGAACTTTTTCACACGGATGATGAGGAGGAAGGAGAGTATAGCAAAGTAACAGAAGAGGTTACAGAGCATGTTTATTTGCCAGCTAAAACTAAAGCAGCAAAGGAAGGAGAAGTTCATCCCTACCCTTCTGTACCCCCTCCTTATTATTTTGAAGAAAATGTCCCCCCAGATCTTTCTTTTCTGGAGGACACTGGGTGAAAAGTAGTTGCCCCGGTGACTGTTCCAGCAGCGCCTCGAGTGAAGGCTCTTAGTTCTATTCAGGCAGGAATTCAGCAAGCTAGACAAGAGGGTGATTTAGAGGCTTGGCAGTTCCCTGTTAGAATACACCCCCAGGATCGAGAGGGAAATATTATACCTACATTTCAGCCTTTTCCTTTTAAATTACTCAAAGAATTAAAACAAGCTATAAATGAGTATGGACCAGGTTCTCCTTTTGTAATAGGACTGTTAAAGAATGTTACTTTTCCAGTCGGATGGTTCCTACTGACTGGGACGCTCTTACTCGAGCTTGTCTAACTCCTGCTCAGTTTAAAACTTACAATTTAAAACTTGGTGGGCAGATGAAGTTTCCATTCAGGCTGCTCACAATGTCCAGGCCCAACCTCAAATTAATATAACTGCAGACCAACTTCTGCGGGTTGGTGGCTGGACTGGTTTAGATGCACAACTGGTCATGCAGGATGATGCCATAGAACAGCTTAGAGGAGTGTGCATTAGTGTTTGGGAAAAAATCACTTCAGATGGGGAAAATTAACCTTTCTTTAGGGCTGCAAGACAGGGATCCAGAGAACCGTACGTTGATTTTATAGCTCAGTTACAGGAGTCTCTTAAAAAGATGATTGCAGATTCGGCTGCTCAGGATATAGTGCTGCAATTATTAGCTTTCCACAATGCTAATCCCGATTGCCAGGCTGCTCTGTGACTTATCAGAGGGAAAGTACATTTAGTTGATTATATCAAGGCCTGTGATGGTATCGGAGGTAATCTGCATAAAGCTACTTTGTTGGCACAGGCAATGGCAGGACTGAGAGTGGATAAAGGAAATACTCCATTTCCTGGAGCTTGTTTTAACTGTGGGAAGCATGGTCGCACTAAAAAAGAATGTAGAAAAAATCAGTGAGTCAGGTCACCTGATGGGGGAAAAAAGAAAACGGTTGAGCCTGAAATATGTCCAAAATGTAAAAAAGGAAAACACTGGGCTAGTGAATGTCACTCTTAAGTTTGATAAAGACGGAAATTCAATTTCAGGAAACGCCATGAGGCACCTGTCCCGGGCCTCGTTCTAAACTGGGGCATTTCCAGCTGAGGCCATTCCCTCACCCCTGTACAATGTCTGTCCCCCTCCACAGTCAGTAGTGCCTCAGTAGATTTATACTGCACAAAAGCTGTGAGCCTTCTGCCTGGGAACCCCCGCAAAAGGTCCCAACAGGAGTCTGTGGACCC